CCCGCCCCCGATGTAATCGAAAAATAACATATGAGTCTAGTAGCCGTAGATGCAGAATTGCTTCATGTCAATCCTCCCCCCCCGATGTGTTCAATCCCCTCCTAACTCTTCAATCGCGTGCTCTAATCGAATCTAGCCCGGGTCATAAGCAGTGAATGTACAGAGAGGACAGGGTCTTACCGCCATGGCCGATGCGCTCCGATGGAGGTCTGCAGTCGCTCTGGTGATTGCCGCCACCGTCTTGGATCGATTCGCAGTAGAGCTCAGCTGGTCGCCGCCGCCGGTGTGAGTGGGGAAGAGGGGAGAGAGCGGCGAAGAGGGGGAGGTGAGTGTAATTTTTGAAGACGTGTGTGGAAACAACACGACGTCTCGGGACCGCACCCACGCGTGCAACCGCCCAGGCCCACATGCCTAGGGTTGCATCGCTCGGGCCTGGCTGAGGACTGTAATGTTCGTGTTGTGCAGGCCCAACAGTGAATGCGGGTAACCGAACGAGCCTTTTTCTTCCGGCGCTGGCCTGGCCGAGGTATATGCAGCCTATCAAACATGTCCAATGTGTAGAGAAGAAGATCCTCCCCTGGAGCCCATGGCATGGTATTGGCCACAAGAGAAGAAAGCAGGATGGAGGGAGGGGTCGAAAGAAGGCTGCCTCCCACTTTGTTGTCACCAACGACACATGCATAACCAAAGTGAGTGTGTCCTCCATAGAAAAAAGAAATAGATTTCCCTTTGAGACACACACTAGAAAAAATAGATGAGGAATGCATGCTTTAACAAGTTGTTTTGGTTACCCCTCAAAAAAGAAGAAGAAGTTGTTTTTTTTTTGAGTAAAAGGGAAGGGAAGTTGTGTGTTGTTGGGTTGGAGTGGTGGGCTTAGCTACCCGCAAAAGAGAAAAAAAAGGAGTGGTGGGCTTAGCTACCTGCAAAAGAAAAAAAAGAGTGGTGGGCTTAGCTTGGCTGGGCTGGCTGGGTAGGTTGGGCCGGGCCTAAGAAAAGGAAGTTTATGGGTGGGGAAAGGAAAGGAAGTTTCTGTGCGTGTGGCACTGAAACCCACGCCAAGCGCGTGCCCTGCTCTGCTCTGCTCTCCTCTCCTATTATATCCTTGTCCTTGTCCTTGTCCTTGGGACAGCACAGCCTTTCCTCTTTCTTCTTCTTCTTCTTCTTGTTGAGGCTGCTTGAAGAAGGTGCCGGAGATGTCGTCGTCGTCCTTGTCCAAGGCCAGATTCGAGGTCTGTCTCTACTCTCCTTCCTCCCCGCCTCTCTCAATTCCTCTACTCTACTTCTTCATCATCATCTCATAGCCATACCAATACATACTCCACTACTCCTAGATAACATGATAATTCACCACACCACACCACACCAGACCAGACCAGATAGAGAATCCACTACTCCAGTCGAATCTGACATCAATTGCAACCTCAATTGCTAATAATACACTACATACATACGACAAGTAATTGCTCTCTTCTCTTCTCTTCTCTTCTCTTTTGATTTGCCGTGCGTGCAGGGTAAAGGAGGAGGAGGAGCAGGCGGATCCGGGAGATCCATATCGCTGGCCGCCTCCAGGGCCAAGCTCGCCGCCGCCACCGCCGCCGCCAAGAAAGCCGCTACTACAGCTAGCGGCCGGGGCAAGGCCAAGGCCAAGGCCAAGAAGGTCTTCTCCCTCACCGGCCAGAAGTTCGACACCCCAGAGGAGGTACAATTTCTTCTTTCATCATACTTATCATACTTGTATGCTTCCAGTTCAAGCATCTGATTTGGGAACCCTTTTTTGCAATGGAATTTGGCTTTGCTTGGCTGCCAGAGGGAGCCCCTGAGGATCTTCTACGAATCGCTCTCCAAGCAGATCCCATCCAGCGACATGGCCGAATTCTGGTACGTCTCTGCCTCTGCTCTCCTCTGCTCTGCTCCACCAATTAATCGCCACTTACTGCTGCTTGCCCACAAGTTACTAGTAGAGTAGGCTGCAATCCCAACCCAGTTACTAGTAGAGTACTAGTCTCTGATTGATCCATTGATTTCTCTGAATGTCACTCAAATCCTTCCTTAGCTCTTCCCTCCCTGCACACATCACGTATAGCTACCTAATTACTACACTAGCATTCACAAACAACTTCACTCTCAAACTCTCAATTATCCCTCCCTGATGATTCACACACACACACACACACACTTCAAAAATGTACCCTCTTCCAAATTTACTACGTATACTGCTGCCGAGTACTACTACTCCACTCCACCAATATTTTACTAAAGCAACAACAGTCACACCTGTATGTATGTATGTATGTATGTATGTATGTATGTATGTATGTGATTCTTACCTGACAGACACAACATACACACATATTGCAGGTTAATGGAGCATGGGCTGTTATCTCCGGAGAGAGCCAAGAAAGCCTATGACAGAAAGCTCAAACGGCAGCAGCAGATCAAATCAGGGACCCCCATCAAGTCGCCAAATTCCACCACTGTCACCAAACACAAACCTGCAGAGAGCTGGAAGAAACCGGTACCACTGGTTTCTTCTTCTTCCACAGCGCGTCACAACACAGATCATTCCGCCGCCAAGGCCAAGAGAAGAGTTGAGTACAGCAGCGACGATGACCACGACGACAAAGAATTCGTTGTCAAGCTCAAGAGACCCAATTTCAACTCCAACTCCAATTCCAATTCCAGGGGTGGCTGAACAACTCCTCAACATTGATGAATGGGCCCGTCTGTCTGTTTGTTTCTTTCCAGCTAAGCACATATCCTACTACATGGATCAAGCAATACCATCTCAGATTCAGACTCAGATCACTAACTCGACTTTTATTTATTTTGTTTTTCACCCTACAAGTACAACAATGAATTGGCTCTTCTGACTACATACATATATATGCCTGTCTGTGTATTTGAGTTCAGAGACAAGATAGACATTTACTACCTTTTTGTTGTAAGCAATGCCTGGTGAAAATAATGAATGAATAAATGAACACATTCAGTAAGTTCGTATGTGTATATTGTGTCTGTTTGTTCCCGTTGACGAAGAGGGAGTTTTTTTTTGGTTGATAAAGGGCGTTTTTGTTAACTCTCTCATAATGTAGCACCAACCTGATAGAAAGCATAACGAGTGACATGCGGCCTCTGCATGATTACGATGCGCACAAGCATAACCTGATAAGAAATAAAAAAGACATATAGAAAACAATAAAGCCCTATGAGACCGAAACTATGCCTATGTCGAAGAGGATAGTGGCCACTTGTTTTTAGGCAGAAATGGGACGCCTGCCTACAACGGCCCCATGGAGTTCCGGACAGAGATGGGGGCTGGTCTTCGAGTGTCCATAAAAGGCTGTGGGGCCAATCAAGGCCGGGACAACAAACTGCGTAGGGAGAGTATTGTCACGGAGCTCGCACAGCTAGATTCCGAGCAGGAGTGCGCTCATCGCTATGCCCTGGAGGGCCAAGTGGAGGCCCTTCTCCGGGCGGAGGAGGAATATTGGCGTAGACGAGGGGGTCTCAAGTGGACGCTGAAAGGGATGCGAACACTAAATATTTCCATGCTTATGCTAACGGCCAGCGTCGGAAATGTGCCATATTGCGTCTGCAGTCAAAGCAGGGGCTCTTACTCCGACAATCGGACATCATGCGCCACGTCTACGAGTTCTATATGCAGCTGACGGGCTCGAGTGAGCAGCCATTAGCAAGACTTCGCGCGGATTTATGGGATCCGGTGCTCACGGTCTCTGACCTTGAAAACGAGGAGCTGGGCCTGGCCTTCCTCCCCCAAGAAATCGATGCCGCCCTCCTCGGCATAAAGTCTGACACGGCCCCGGGCCCCGATGGCTGGCCCGTTGCCATGTTTAAGCGGTTTTGGTCCACGCTCAAGGGGCCGATATTCTCTCCGTGCAACGGTTTCATGCGCGGGGAGGTTGGCATCTCCCGTCTGAACTTTGGAATTCTCTCGTTAATTCCAAAAGTGCAGGGCGCAGATAACATTAGGCAGTTTAGACCCATTGCATTTATTAACGCCCCTTTCAAATTTTGTTCCAAAGCGTGTTCGACTCGTTTAACCCCGGTAGCGCACCGCATTATTAGTAGGACCCAATCAACATTTATCCGCGGTCGTAACATTTTGGAGGGGGCCCTCTGAGGGAGTCCTGGACTAAGGGCTCCTCGGGCGTCCGGCCTGTTAGCCATGGGCCGGACTGATGGGCTGTGAAGATACAAAGACCGAAGACTGCACCCGTGTCCGGATGAGACTCTCCTTGGCGTGGAAGGCAAGCTTGGCGACTAAATATGAAGATTCTTTTCTTTGTAACCGACCTTGTGTAACCCTAGATCCTCCCGGTGTTTATATAAACCGGAGGACTTAGTCCGGAGGGGACACTCATTATCATAGCCATACAAGCTAGACCTCTAGGGTTTAGCCATTACGATCTCGTGGTAGATCAAATCTTATAATACTCATATTCATCAAGATCAATCAAGCAGGACGTAGGGTATTACCTCCATAGAGAGGGCCCGAACCTGGGTAAAACATTATGTCCCCTGTCTCCTGTTAACATCGACCTTAGACGCACAGTTCGGGACCCCCTACCTGAGATCCGCCAGTTTTGACACCGACATTGGTGCTTTCATTGAGAGTTCCACCGTGCCGTCATCAAGAGGTTTGGTGGCTCCTTCAACCATCTACAACGATGCTGCCCAAGGGGGAGCCTTCCTCCCCGGACAGATCTTCGTGTTCAACGGTTTCGCTCAGCGGGCCAACTCGCTTGGCCATCTGGAGCAGATCGAAAGCTACGCCCCTGGCCATCAGGTCAGATTTGGGAGCTTGAACTACGTTGCGGACATCCGTGGAGACTTGATCTTCACCGGATTCGAGACCGCGGCTACCACTCCTGGTCACCCCGAGGGACATGACCTAAATCTGTCATCGGACCGCATCCAGGAGACAGCTCCCATAACCGCTCTAACCTTAGATTCAGAGCAGACTGCGCCATCCAAGGATGGGAGGATCGACCCCCACCACGGAGGCCATAGATTCCACGGTGTTGGAGCCGCACATAGACTCGATCTCACACGACACATGTACCACCAGAACTCCGGACTCGTCTCCGGCTGTAAGTTCCAAACCATGCGAGCCCGTGGACGCCGAACTTAATCGTTTATCGATCTTCGAATTCAGCGCCGCAGACATCTTCCAGCACTCGCCTTTGAGCGACATGCTAAACTCATTGAAAAACCTGTCCTTGGCGGGGGACTCACACCCAAACTATGTTCGGTTGGAACTAGGGGATGATGATGGATAATCTCGCTTACCACCCGCCACCCACTCCATAGCCACTGTCGAGGACTCAACCGACATGCTCTATTACGACTTCGAAGACTTCGACGGTATAGACGACGATGCCGAAGAAGAGCAGGGCCGAAACCCGCCACTCACCGGACGCGGGACGGTCACTTCTTCATACAATGTATACATGGTGGATACACCTAAAGAAACTAACGACGACAACAAAGAAGATCCAGTTGAGGATAAATCTCTTGAGACACAGCCCAGACGCCGGCATCAGCGGCACTGCTCTAAGTCACGCCGTGCAAAAGAAAGTAATACTGACACCGGAGACAACACCCCGGACGATGCCGAAGACAGTGAAGCCCCTGTTGGGGCAACATCCGAACAAAACGAACTAGAGGACGAGCACGATAGCCCGCATGAACAGGCCATACATGAAGACTCGGAGGAAAGTAATTACCTTCCGCTCTCCGAGGACGAAGAGAGCCTCGGTGACGAGGATTTCATCGTGCCCGAGGAACCTCTTGAGCGGGAGCGCTTTAAACGCCGGCTGTTAGCCATGGCAAGGAGCCTGAATAAGAAACAGCAGCAGCTTCAAGCTGACCAAGACCTGCTCAAGGATAGATGGATAGACATCCAAGCACACAACCAAGGGTTACCCTAAGCACAGGTTGCTACCTTAGTTCGATGAGGGCGCCGGCACTTGTACCACATGGTCGGGACAATGCGGCTAACCGACCACTATGCAGTCGGGATAAAGCAGTAGCTCAATCTGAACAACAACCCGCCTCATCCCAAAGAAAAAACAGAGACAAAATAGCTCGGGGTCATACATACGACCCTCGGCAGAACCTGGACGGTAGAGCATGATGATGACCACAAGTATAGGGGATCTATCGTAGTCTTTTCGATAAGTAAGAGTGTCGAACCCAACGAGGAGCAGAAGGAAATGATAAGCGGTTTTCAGCAAGGTATTCTCTGCAAGTGCTGAAATTGTAGGTAATAGATAGTTTTGTGACAAGATAATTTGTAACAAGCAACAAGTAACAAAAGTGAATAAAGTGCAGCAAGGTGGCCCAATCCTTTTTGTTGCAAAGGACAAGCCTGGACAAACTCTTATATAGAGAAAAGCGCTCCCGAGGACACATGGGAATTATCGTCAAGCTAGTTTTCATCACGTTCATATGATTCGCGTTTGGTACTTTGATAATTTGATATGTGGGTGGACCGGTGCTTGGGTGCTGCCCTTACTTGGACAAACGTCCCACTTATAAAAACCTCTATTGCAAGCATCCGCAACTACAACAAAAGTATTAAGGTAAACCTAACCATAGCATGAAACATATGGATCCAAATCAACCCCTTACGAAGCAACAGATAAACTAGGGTTTAAGCTTCTGTCACTCTAGCAACCTATCATCTACTTATTACTTCCCAATGCCTTCCTCTAGGCCCAAATAATGGTGAAGTGTCATGTAGTCGACGTTCACATAACACCACTAGAGGAGAGACAACATACATCTCATCAAAATATCGAATGAATACCAAATTCACATGACTATGAATAGCAAGACTTCTCCCATGTCCTCAGGAACAAACGTGTAACACCCCGGATGTAACTTTCCCTATTTGCACTCCAACTCTTGCCATTTCCGGCGTTAAGTTATTTTATTTCCTTGGGTTCGGGTTTTTGTCTCCGTGTGTTGTTGTCATTGTCATGCATCTCATATCATGTCATCATGTGCATTGCATTTGCATACGTGTTTGTCTCATGCATTCGAGCATTTTCCCCGTTGTCCGTTTTGCATTCCGGCGCTCCGTTCTCCTCCGGTGGTCATTTCTAGCTTTCTTTCGTGTGTGGGGATTAAACATTTCCGGATTGGACCGAGACTTGCCAAGCGGCCTTGGTTTACTACCGGTAGACCGCCTGTCAAGTTTCGTATCATTTGGACTTCGTTTGATACTCCAACGGTTAACCGAGGGACTGAAAAGGCCTCGTGTGTGTTGCAGCCCAACACCCCTCCAATTTGGCCCAAACCCACCTAACTCTTCTCCATATCCTAGAGTGTTCGATCACGATCGCGTGGCCGAAAACCGCACCTCATTTGGACTCTCCTAGCTCCCTCTATGTCTCTTTAAAGAACCCCCGAAATCCGGATCTTCTCCTCCCCCGAAACCCTAGTTCCATTCGTCTTCGCGCGCCGCCGGACAAAAAGTCGCGCCGACGGACATTGTCCACGCAGCCACCCGTGCCTACCAGGGGGCGCCACGTGGCGGGCACCGCCGCCCCGCGCCGCCGGCCCGGCGAGCCGGCGGGAGGTCCCCCGAGC